ACAATCAGCAGAGATCAATAAAGCAGTGGGCCATTCCAACTGGGACACCATCTGTGTCTACACAACTGGATATGCACCCAGCTTTACAACAGATCTTGGTTCACTAAGTCTACGCTGTAAGAGGTAGAGAATGATGAACAATCAAGTCAGTGTTGCTAAAAAGTCATATATAGTTTTGCAATATTGATTTAAATGATTGTATTGTTTATTGGGAACCCGGGTGGCACAGTGGTTACACACTTGGCTGCTAACCGAAAGGTCACTGGTTCGAACCCACCAGCCACTCCTGCTGGAGAAAAAGGTGGCAGTCTGCTACCGTAAAGATCACAGCCTTGAAAACCCTGTGGGGCAGTTGTACTCTGTCCTATGTAGGGTCACTATGAGTTAGAATTAAGTCTACAGCAACAGGTTTGGTTTGGGTATTGTTTCTTAAATACGTACAAACAGGAAACCAGGCATAAACTCTGCTTAAGCTCCTGCATAACCCTAAAAACCACAGAATAAATATTTGAGTAGAATGAATACAATTTAAACACAAACAAAACTGAAAACCAACGAATGCCAATGTAGACAGGTTTACCAGCAGTTGGCACTCTATTTCAGGCTGTAGGAGAGATTCAGTTCTTTCATTGCATTTATTTGACCCTTGCTAATGTAGCATGCCATCTGGTCTCCACCTGTTGCACCCCCATCATTTCTGTATTACAGTCAGCTCTCTCAGCGCCAAAATGTGGTCATAGATGGAAGCGAACTTGAGCACTGACATCTCTTGGCAGGCTTCAGGGTTAAGGTGGCTAACCAAAGGATCCAGAATCCACTTTATGTTACTTTAAAAAATCATCATGGGAGTGGACATCAAAATTGAAAAATGCAGTCCCTAAGAACACATCTCGGAAACCCTGTACAGGGTCGCTATGGGTCGGAACCGACTCGATGGCACTTAACAACAACAACAAGAACACATCTCAGTCTGAAAACACTGCACTGGTTAAGTGGCTAAATGAAAGATATATATTTGGTCCACACTTCCAAAGAGTTTACAGTCTAACTAGGAAAGAAAAGACATCATAATTGTAACCAATAAAGGCAGTGAAAAGTACCGTCAGAGAGGTACAACTGAAGTGCTGTGAAAGTTCAGATGATGAAGAAATGATTTGGATATATTTTGTTGGAGGAAAAGAGCATCTTGACAATGGAGTCAACAGGAGTAAATACAGAGGTGGGAAACGAGAAGGTATTTATGAAGAGAAAGAAATAATTTTGTGTGGAGGTGTGTGTGTGTGGTGGTAGTGACTCAGAGTACAGTCACCCACTGCCATGGAGTCAATGCTGACTCACAGTGACGCTACAGGATAGAGTAGAACTGCTATGTTGGGTTTCTGAGACTGTAAATCTTCATGGGAACAGACAGCCTTGTCTTTTCTGCTTGGTGCGATAGAGGTCCAATATTTAACTCACTATGCCACCAGAGATCCTTGTGGAAACTAAAATCAGGAAAACAAAATGTTGTAGATGCCAGGATAAAGAGTTTGTAATGTATCTGGAGGTATCTGGGAAGAAGGGTCCACCCTTGCCAAGACTGTATAGCCATATGGGTGTAGGATACTTCCAGTTTCCAAAAGATCACAAAGTCCTAATTTCCAAATGCATATAATTTACATCAGCAAACAAAGGGTGTTTGAGACATGTTTCATGGAAGTCAGACTCAGGCCTATATAACGTCAACTTTTTAAAGTGAAACTTCATGCTAATGGAATCTTCTGTGATCATCCACTCAGGTATCTTAACTCACAGTTCTATAACTCACACGTCAGCCCTTTTGCGTAGGGCTCAATAGATTCCCTCACTGCAGGCTTTGCCTAGAGCACCAGCACTCTATCAATACAAGGTTTAAAAAAACACAGAGTTGTTGGAACTGTTGCTTAGAACTGACAAATCAGCACGTACGCAGTCTTTTGTCCAGGGTGAGTAGTAATTTATGTTGCTCAGCTAAATAATGCGGAGTCCTGGTGTGACACTGTGTGTTAATGCGCCAGACTGCAAAGACATTTGAACTGCAAGGTCAGCAGTTCAAGCTCACCAGCTGCTCCTCGGTAAACCCTATACAGGGTCGCTATGGGTCAGAATTGACTTGCTGGCACTTAACAACTAAATTATGCAGAATTAACTTAGTACATCATAGTATAAAAGGAAGGCAGACTAATAAGCACCATTATTAGCTTGATGTTGTTGTTGTTGTTATTGTTAGGTGGCATCAAGTTGGTGCTGACTCATAGCGACCCTATGCACAGCAGAACGAAACACTGCCTGATCCTGGCCCAACCTCACTATTGTTGCCACGCTTGAGCCCACTGATGCTGCCACTGGGCCAATCCATCTTGCTGGAGGTCTTCCTCTTTTCTTCTGACCCTCAGCCTTACCAAACATGATATCCTTCTCCAGCAAATGGTTCCTCCTGACAATATGTCCAAAGTATGAGAGACAAAGTTTGGCCATCTTGGCCTCCAAGGAGCACTCAAATAGTTTCAATTTTACCCTTTTTATATGGAGTTGTAGTATGGTGCTGCAGGATAATGCACTGGACTGAAAGGTCGGCTTGAAATGCAAGGTCAGCGGTTCAAATCCATCATCCACTCCTCAGAAACCCTATACGGGATTGCTGAGTCAGAACCAACTCGACAATACTTAAAAACAACAACCCTTATTGTAGGTAGTCTCCGAGACACCTCACATGTGAATTACTGCAGTAGAGTCTGTCTCTAAAGGTGTTAGTAGGTCTATGAATTTACATCTAATTTCCCACCTTCATAAAATGGTGAGACTACAAAATGGCGTTAGTTAAAAACAATTCAAACCCTCCCTTTTCTGCTGTAATTTCTATGATAGCAGCTCAGCGAGTATCAGTTATTTTCAAGTGAATTAAGCTGATGGAAAGGGGCCCTTGTGGTGGAGTGGATTACGTGTTAGACTGCTAACTGCAAGGTTAGCAGTTCAAGTCCCCCAGCAGCTCCGAGGGAGAAAGAGGAGGCGTTCTGCGCCCATAAAGATTTGGTCTTAGAAACCGTACACAGGGGCACTATGAGTTGAAACTGACTTGACGGCACACAGCCGCCACCACCAAGCTGATGGAAAAGTACTTAGGAAAACACACCTGACAATGGCACAGGTGAATGTAGAACCTCCAAACAAAAGTCCTGATTAATGCCACTAACAGTTAGTGGGTGTGCTGAATTCACTGCACAACAACCAGGACATTGTTCAAACTCAGGGATTCCAGAATTCCTGAGTGGCACACGTTTGCGCCAGAGGGCTGGAAAGTGACATATGATGTCAGCACAAATCACTGCAACCCTTCACTAACCAACAAATCTGCATACTCCGGTCTTGATTAGAAACTTAGTGTTCTTAAAATATCATCCGCATCTGTTGCATTGGAAAGAATGTCAAGGCAAAACCAAGGCCAACACCAGTTGGCAGAGCAGGCACCATACCACGGTCCACAACACAGAGGCTTCTGAAAACGTTCTTTAAGAATAAGAAACAAACAAGCAAAAGACAAAAATAGTGTTTAAATATTTAACAGCAACATACTAAAATCTACTGCAAAAGGCCTCTTTAAAGTGTTTAAAGAGCAACATTAGTTTTAGGATTAAGGTGTACCTGACCTGTTGTTGTTATGTGCCATCGAGTTGGTTCCGACCCACAGTGACCCTGTATAGGGTTTCCGAGGGTGTAAATCTTTACGGGAGTAGAAAGCCTCATCTTTCTCCCGCGGAGCAGCTGGTAGTTTCGAACCGCTGTCGTAACCACTACGCTTCATATGCACGTGAAAGTTGCATCATGAATAAGGAAGACATTAGAAGAATTGATGCATTTGAATTATGGTGTTGGAGAAGAATATTCAAAGTACCATGGACTTCCAGAAGAACAAACATTTCTTTGATGGAAGAAGTACAACCAGAATGCTCCCGAGAAGCCAGGATGTCAAGACTTCTCTCTCCTTCTTTGGATATGTTAATCAGGAGGGACCTGGTCCAGGAGAAGGATATCATGTCTAGTAAAATGGAGGGTCAGGGAAAAAGGAGAAGACCCCCAACAAGATGGATTGGCACAGTTGCAGGCATAATGGGCTCACACGTAACTGTAAGGAAGGCAAGGATAGGATAGTGTTTTGTTCTGTTGAGCATACGGTTGCTATGAGTCGGAAGACTCGACGGCACCTAACATCAATGTAGCTCTGCAAAACCTAATTTTTAGTGTAAATAAAAAATTTTAAATGTTTAAGCCCCTGCCCACTAGCTGAAAGGTTGGGCGTTCAAGGCCACGGAAGACAGGCCTGAGGAGCACAACCTTGAAAACCCTACTGGGCAGTTCTGCTCGGCACACACACAGGCTGGCCAGGAGTCCTCAGTGCCTGACAACATATGCATAATTTTTTTGGAGAAACAGGGCCCAGCAAAGTTCAGTGCAGTTTGGCCACAAAGACAGTTTGGGGCCTTAGGGTGTCATTTTCTCGAAGCACTGGGGATTTACAGTTCCTTCAGTGTGCTAAGGCCAGAAGCCTTGTGGCCACTTCAATTCTTGGGGACTTCGGAAGAGTCCACTGGCATTTCAGGGCTTTTAGAGAAAGGCCTTTGTCTCCTCACCAAATCTCGGGGTCTCACTGGTTCTCACATTCGAGGCCGCAGGCCGGCCGACAAACTGCTCAGGCAGCCAACTACAGACACTCACACCTTCTGCAGACAAGTGAAGCCGGAACCATCGCGCCCCCGAGTGGCTACGAGGGCCTGTGGGCGGAAGAGGCGTGACCGCCGCTTTTGCACACGCGCACAAGTGTCCAACCAGCTCCTCGGCACGGAGCAAGGCCCGGGGCGCTCGCACCACCCTCCTTCCTGGCGATTGGTAGGTTGGGAGTTCCCGGGCGCGGAATTGGAAGCCCGCCTCCACCTCTTCCAATGCGAACAAGACAGGGGAGGGCCCAAGGGGTAGGTAGAAGGAGCATGGCGTGGAGGCAACTGAAAGTAAGTCCAGAGGCTCTTGCCACAGCGAGGAAAAGTTAGGGTCGCGAGTGGTTGATGAGAGACTGGAGAGCTGGTCGGGGCGAGGTGTAGACGTGGGCCCTTTGGGAACGTTCATGTGCCTCTGGAAGCAACTGCACGTACTCCTGCGTGTGCATTTGCACGTTTACTTATGAAGGTGTGTAAGGGCACGCACAAAACCAGGTAGCTGCCGATCCGTTATGTAGATGGACCTAATTCTTACTGAGCCTGACACGGGGGCTTTCAGTAAGCACCTCAGCGCGCAACTTAGTGTGCTGGATGCAACGTGGGTTGAAATTAGAATAATATCGAGTTCTGTAAGGACATTGCTCTGGATGTGACATGATGCTCTCAGATAGTCATTATTGTATTCTCGGGGCCTAGCACCCAGTTGTTGTGAAGTCGATTCTGACTCATAGTGACTCCCTATGTGGTGGTGTCAGGTGCCGTCAGTCGGATTCTACTTAACAGCGATATCCTATGCACAACGGAACGAAACACTGCCTGATACTGCGCAATCCTCACAACTGTTATGTTTGAGCCCATTGTTGCTGCCACTGTGTCACTCTTATCTTGTTGGGGTCACCCTCTTTATGTTGAACCTCTACTTTACCAAACTTGATGCCCATCTCCAGGGACTGTCCACCCCAGACAACATGTCCAAAGTGTCTCTTCTGAGGAATGTTGTAGTACTTCTTGCAAGATAGATTTATTTGTTCTTCTGGTAGTCCATGGTACTTTGAATATTCTTTGCCAACACTGTAATTCAAATATACCGATTCCTCTCCAGTCCAGCTTTCACATACACATGAAGCCATTGGAAATACCATAGCTTGGCTCACGTGCACCTTAGTCCGCAAAATGACATTTTTGCTCTTCATCACTATGGTATCTTTTTCAGCAGATTTACCTAATGCAATACGTTTGATTTCTTGACTGTTGCTTCCATGAGTGTTGATTGCAGATCCAAGTAAAATTGAAATCTTTGATCTTTTCCCCATGTGTAGTAAGGTGCTCAAATATTCATTGATTGATATAGGGGGCTTTCTGTACTTGTCCTAATACACTGTAATCTCCTAGAGGAGACTAGAACTGAGATGACATTACTCAGTCTCTACTTACAGCTAGGAATGATCCTTAAGGACAAATTGCGTCATGTCACTTCCTTGTTTAGGGAAGGAAATCCCATCTTAACTGCAGTCAGGACCCCAGGCAATCTGTCTAGCTTCATTTTAAACCCTGATTTCCCTCATTTCCTGGTTCTGAACAGACGACCGCATCCACAATTCCTTGGGTGCATCACAGCCTGTCACTGAGAGCCTTTACATTTTTTCTTTCCCAAAAAACTCTGCTCCCTCCCCATAGTACCTCCTAGTTAGCTCCTTTTATCCTGTACATAAGCCACTGCAGCAAGGAAGCCTTTCCCTTCCTCTGAGATTAGGTGGGGTCTGCCCGTCACCCGATAACTTGTTTTCTTTAAGGCTATCCTCACATTTGCAGAGGTGCCTGATCTCTGATTCCGAGTGTCCTCCTGAGGTGCTGTTCTTCTGGAGGGCAGGTATCAGGTCTGTTTTATGCACATTTAAGTGATCAGTATTATGTGAGGAATGATTACATTAATGAATGAGGGCCTTTCACTACCTGATGGTGGTAATTAAGAGAAAACCCTTGTGGCTTCCAGCTTAGACAACCCTCTGAGGGAAGTTCTGTTCCATCACATGGGGTCACTGTGAGTCAAAATCGACGTAAAGTCACCTGACAACAACAATAGGTATATTGTATTGTTAACCACCCCAAGCAAGCAGTGTACCATGATGTTCTGAAACTGAAAATTCTTGGTAAAATCTTGTACAAAACAGTACAGTGCTTCAGTTTACAAAGAAATTACATTTCTGGGAAAGTCTTTGTATATGAAAGCAATACAAGAGGTAGTTTGTATTTATGTGGTAAAATATAGTTACATCTGGGTTCAGGTAATTAAGAACAGAATTAAAAAAAAAAAATACTGTGAGTGTCAGAAGGCATTGAGCAGTCATACAGGCTGTGGGGCAATTCGTGTGTGAGTGAGTCTAGACCTGGAGACCAGTGTCAGCAGAAGGCTAGGAACACGCTTTTACGTCCTCTGTGTGTCGGGGTGTATGGGGCTCAGAGGGTGCTGCGGCCTGGTATTGAGTGGCCCCTGATGTGTTCTTTGTTCCAGAAGCGGGCCCAGGATGCTGTGGTCATCCTGGGGGGTGGAGGACTTCTCTTCGCCTCCTACCTCACCTCCGTGGGGGATGAGCGTTTCTACGCGGAACGTTTGATGCCGGCCCTACAGGGGCTGCTGGACCCGGAGTCGGCCCACAAACTGGCTGTGCGCGTCACCTCCCTGGGCCTCCTTCCTCGTACCACGTTTCAAGACTCTGCCATGCTGGTGCGTGCTCCCCAAACACCTCTGGGTTAGAAGGTGGGGGCTTCAAAGAGTTCGTGGAAAAATGGAATGAAGATCAGGAAGTTGGTGCATAAACTTTTTGTACAAAGTAAAGAGTGACGTCCCACGTGTACTCAGCTGGGGATGTCCCTTGTGAAAACCAAAGAGCCCAAGTTAGCAGTGGGCATGTTGGACTTCAGTCTCAGCAATAATAATAGCTATGTTGTTGTTGTTAAGTGCCGTCGAGTCGGTTCTGACCCTTAGCGACCCTGTACAGGGTTTCTGAAGCTGTAAATCTTTACAGGAGCAGAACGCCTCATCTTTCTCCCGCGGAGCGGCTGGTAGTTTCGAACTGCTGACCTTGCGGTTCGCAGCCTGATTCTTAACCAATACGCTACCAGAGCTCCTTAATAATAGCTATAATTATGCTTAACTCTTTTGTGGGGCTTACTATGCTATGCAGTGTTCTCATTTAATCCTCACTATTCTCTGAGAGCCGTCCTGTCATTCTGTCTACAGATGAAGAAACAGGCTAAGAGTAGTCAAGTGACTTGCCTAAAGTCCAGCAACTAGGAAGTAGCAGAGTCAGGATTCAAACTCAGGGAGTCTGACTGTGGTATCCATGCCCTTAGGTATCGTTCTGTTTTGTTGAGGTTTCAGGTTCCCCAGTCTTCCTCTCTGAGACTCTCCATAATCTCACCACAAGCTAACGAACGTCCCAGTTTTAGCTCTCCATCATTCCCCTAAATCTATGTCACAGTCCCTGGGAGCCATTATCTCAGGGGACTCTGATACGTAGTCTGGGGTGAGAACCACTGTCCCCAGCGATGGTTCTCTAGACCAGCCACATTTCCTGTCTGACTGTCCCCTAAGGTGCTGTGCCCATTCTCACCTTCCTGGTCTTATTTTTATTTGCCATTTTCTTCCAAGAAGAGATGGTACCCATCATTGGAGACCCTTGCTGGTTCTCAAAAAGTTTCCTGATTTCACCAGTGCACAGTGACGGAAATCCTATGTCAATAACTGGCTTTGCTACATCTCTTTATTTCTTTCCTACCTTTTAAAGAATTGTTGCTAGATTTGTTAAGGAACCCTGGTGGAATAGTGGGTTATGTGTTGGGCTGCTAACCATAAGGTCAGCAGTTCTGATCCACCAGCCACTCTGCAGAAGAAAGATGAGGCTTTCTGCCCCTGTAAAGATTTACAGTCTCGGAAACCCTACACACAGTGGTTGTGAGTTGACGACATGCACCACCACCACTAGATTTGTTGGCTCCCTCAGGGCAGGAATCCTTAACTTTCCAGGAGTCTGATTTGACCTAGCGGTAACCAGACCTCAGAGATTCCCATTGTAGAGAACAATCTGGAACATGCTCAACAGTTGACCTGGAAGAATCTCTTCAGCCATGGCCTGGTTCTGCTGCCCAGCAATCAGGACTGTGCAGCTGAGAACCTTTCTCCCTCCAGCTTCCCACAGGCCTGTGGAGACCGGGGAGGAACAATGCTGGGGCCTCTGATAAGCCTGGCGTATTAGGCTGATGAGAGGGCTGCTTGACATTCCCTGGGTTCAGAGGGACACTATGTGGGGCTGACACCAACTAGCCTCTCTCCCCGACCAAGTGACTGAGTTGGTGATAGTCACGAGAAGCCACTGGTTCTCAGCCTTGAGCGGGTTAACACTGCTAACTCTGTAGCTCTTCCTTGTGTTCATCTCTGGGGCAGGGCCCTGGAATCTGATGCTAACAAGCTCCTCAGGTGATCTTAATGTTAGTGTGCTAGGGACCACACTTTGAGAAACACTGGGACAGCTTTTTGTACCTTTGACTTTGTCTTCCTCTCCCCAGGAAGTGAGGGTCCTGGGCCGTAAGTTCCGAAATCCAGTAGGAATTGCTGCAGGATTTGACAAGCATGGGGAAGCTGTGGATGGACTTTATAAGATGGGCTTTGGTTTTGTTGAGATAGGAAGCGTTACCCCCAAGCCCCAGGAAGGAAACCCCAGACCCAGAGTCTTCCGCCTCCCCGAGGACCAAGCCATCATTAATAGGTAGGTGAGCAGCTCAGCATTCCTAAGCCACGCCTTTCTCATAGCAGGGCTCTCAGGGATGTAATATCTGGCTCCGCCTTTCACCCGTCATACAGCATGCACATTCTCCTGAAATGTTTACAGTCCTGGTGAGCATCTATGTGGGTCAGGCCCGCATTCTCACACCAACCCTGGAAAACAGGTTTTATGATTCCAGTTTAACATGTATACCCACCAAGGCTCAGAGAGTTAAATAACTTAGCTACAATCACAGAGATAATAAAGGGGAGAGCCTGGGTACACACCAGTCAGGCTCTCTGATTTCAGAGCATGCGTCTCTTCCGCGTCGCTATTCTGATGCCCTTATCTAGCACTGTTGTGGAGAAATATCACACAAGTCCATGGGAGGTTAAGTTTTCTAGTAGGCACATTATAAAATCAGAAATTAATAATAGTTTATGCAACCTAATATATAATGAACCCTGATATGGTGCTGTAGTGTAAGCATTAGACTGGTAACTGCAAGGTGGCAGTTCAAACCTACCAGGTGCTCCTCAGAAACCCTGTACAGGGTCGCTATGAGTTGGAATCCACCTGATAGCACAGAGCACAACTATCACCACCTAATATATAAAAAGTATTATTTTAACTCGTAATCAATATAAAAGTGATGAGCTTGAAATCCAGTGTGAATTTTACAGACTAACCACATGGCAGGTGCTCAGCCACCTAAGGCTCACAGCCCTCGTATTTAGACAGGACAGCAGCCCTTGTTAAGTGCAGAGTCTTTTTCCAACTCATAGTGACCCTGTATAGGGTTTCCTAGGAGCCGCTGGTGACTCACCAACCTTGAGGTTAGCAGTCCAGTGCTGATCCTCCAGCACTCCACCAGCTCTAGCTGTCCAATTCTATTAAATAGGAGAATTTCATAATCAATGGGACTCCTGGTGTGGCGCTGTAAGATCAGCGCTGGGCTGTGAACCACAAAGTTGGTGGTTCAAACTCACTAGCTGCTCCTTGGAAACCCTATACAGGGTCACTGAGTTGGAACCAACTCTAAAGTATTTAACAACTACTAAACAATGTATACAACTACTTGTGCTTCTCTTTGTGATCCCTGGAAATTTTTTTTTTTCCGCATTACAGAAAATCCAGGAAGTGAAATTCCTACTTTTTGGTAACCTAATTGATAAGAACCTCTTTGAGGTGTTCTTGATAAGAACTTTGGAGCCATTAATGGCCTTTTAGAAAACAGATCTATGTCAAATTTATTTGGCTGTAGTTCTGGCTTTATTTTGCCTGCTTTCAAGAAATCTTCAGGCATTAGACATCAGATTATTGATCTAGCTGTTGCTTTGCAGGCTGGGATCGGATCAGTAATATCTTTACCATTGGCTAGGCAAAATATGTTTGTTTGTGTTTTGGCTGCCACAAACAACCTGCAGGTACCAAGATCAAGTTCTTGATGGCACCCATGGATGAAGTGGTCTGAGGTAGGTGAGCCTGTTTGAGCACGTGCTGTGCTCAGCCTCTTTGCTCTGCCTGCTATCTAGTACATAGCAGGTGCTCAGTAATTGCTTATTGAACATATAGATGAATAAATAGTGTCGGTAGTCATTCATTTATTCATTAAGTCAACAGATTCACATGCCACTGTATGTGTTAGGCTGCTTTTGGATGCAGGTGACAAAGACCATGTAACTAAGATTGGCTTCACAATTGTGTTGTTGATAAATGTTGTCCAATCTGTTTTGACTCATAGAGACCCTGTATGGGGTTTCTAAGAAGTGGCATAGATGTTTATTTTTTTCCTTCTCAGAAAGTAAAGTAGGTGATTCCAGGGTTGGTTGGACAGCAAGGCAATGTCAAGGTTCTGGGCCAATTTCTCTGCATCTTCATTCTTATTTGCCAGATGGCTACCACCTTGTGGAGCTCTTGAGACTGGGTGACAGAGAAAGAAGACATGTCCCTTGCCTTCAGGAAGATTGCAGTCTAGCAAGGAAACTTGAGCATGTACAGAAATCCAGAGCCAGGAGGATAGGAACCGATCATTGTTTATATACCAAAGGGGTAAAGGAGCACTTGCAACTGGAAGCTTTTTGGAAGTAGAAGAGGAGATATTTGATCTGGGTCAGGAAGCATGGAAGATCTTAATAGGCGGAAATGGGGGGCATGCAAGGAGGTGGGAAAGCATGAACTTAGCAGAGAGGGCAAGAAAAGTTTGCAGAAAGTTGACTGAAAAGACAGTGGAACGTTTCCACAAACTTGATGAAGCTCCCTTGCATATGGTGCAGCTGTAATTCTGGCCATGGACCTGTCTTCCTCAATTCTGTGTCTTCTGGCTGAAGGACTCTAACCTTGTCCCCTCACAGATATGGATTTAACAGCCATGGATTCTCAGTGGTGGAGCACAGGTTACGGGCCAGGCAGCAGAAGCAGACCCAGCTCTCAGAAGGTAAAATGGAGTTGTTTTAGAATTTGGTTATTGGGAAGAAACAGGTGGGATAACCACTGGGGAAAAAAGCTTTTAAGAAGCCTGCTGTCCTCTACCCATGGAATTTTCCAGTTTACTTGTCAGGAATTGAATTGTGTACCCTCATAAAATATGTGTGTAAAGTCCAATCTCTACATTTGAGGCTAACGGAGTCCTCATGGTGTAGTGGTTAAAGTGCTCAACTGGGAGAAAGATGTGATGCTGCTTCTGTAACACTTTACAGCCTTAGAAACCAGATGAGGCAGTTCTACTCTGTCCTCTAGGGTTGCTATGCCTGAATCATAGGGAGTTTTTTGAATCCCATTTGGCAGTGGGTTGTCTTTGTTATGTTACTGAGGCAGGATTAGCATAGGTTATGTCTGGAGTCAGTTGTATTTGAGTTATAAAAAAGTTTAAACAAGCAACCTTGGAAGTGGAGATGGAGGAATTGAGACAGCTAGCCACATAGATCACCCACGAACAGAAGCTCAAAGAAACAAGACTTTGCTTCAGAGCCGCAGAGATAGAATGCCTCCTCAGTCCTAGTCTGGTGCTGCCATTCACTGGAGTGAAGTAGAGCCCTACAGCAGTGCTCTGCAGCTGGAGGCCGGGGGGGTGGGGGCAGCTTCTTGCTAGCACCGTGCTGGGAACGTTTGTGCTGACAAAAGCTGGGGCGCCTACTGAGGTAGAGTCATTCAGCAATTTCTTACAACTCCAAACTCTTGTCACCTAGTTGATTCTGACTCACAGCAGCCCACATGGTACAGATTAGGACTGTGCTCCATATGGTTTCCTTGGCTGTAATCTCTATGGAAGTCGTTCTCCAGGACTTTCTTCCACAGAGCCTCTGGGTGGGTCCAAACCACCAACTTTTTTTTTTTTTAGCAGTTGATTGCAAACTGCTTGTGCCACCTGGGGACCTTTGCTATGTAATCTGTCGTCAAATTGGGCTGAGCTCCCCTCTTCCCTACCATGATAACAGCTACATAAACCTCATTTACTTTCAAGCCGATGATAAAAAAAGGAGACTACATTCAGGATATGGGAAGGTGGTGAACAGTACAGATGCTGTGTTTTGATCCTGTCTGACCTGACACATTTTGTGAGCTAACTTGGTGTTTCAGGTCTGCTCTCAACCATCAGATGGGAAAATGTAGCCAAGTTCCACTGACCTCTGCAGATAAGGAGAGTGTCTTTAGAGAAGAAAAGCACAGACAACCCTTTGCTTTTACACACAGCGGGTTTCTGAAAAGACATTTCTCTTAAAGTCCAAAATGCAAGTCAAGTGATGAGTCCCTTGCATTATTAAAAAAGGTGGCCATATCACTTAGTATGTCAAGTGAAATACTTTCAGAGAGCAAAAGAGTATATTGAAGAGACCAAATAAGATTGTGGATAGGGGCAGTGAGGAGCTCCATCACCAACAACACAGGATACCAGACCAAGCAGGCTCAGGATGATCCCAGAACTCTGAACCACATATAAAGGAATAGCAGCTAGGGAAAAGAGAAGTGTAACATACAAAAGCAAGCAAATCAGATTAAGCTTGGATCTCTCAACAGAAACGATGCAGCCAAGAAGGCAATGGGGAGACATATATAAAACCCTGAAAGAAAAATAAACTGCCTACCAAGAATCCTCTATCCAGCAAAACTTTCAATCAAATACGAAGGTGTAATCAAAACATTCCAGGATGAACAGAAGCTAAGGGATTTTGCCAAAGCCAACCCTCCTATGAAAAACATCCTAAAGGGATTTCTATGGACTGAGAACCAACAAGAACAGACCTGAGAACCATTTTAACTGTCCATTGACTCCCATTGACCTGGAGATGAGAGAGAGAAGAGGAAGGACTGGTTGGTCCAAAGTATGGTGAGACCTGGGGACACCTGAGCCCATGGACAAGGACATAGCCACAGAGGGCTAGAGCTGAGAGGGAAGCATCCAGCTGATATGAAGTGAGGGGAGATGCACAAGAACACCCAAACTTGCAGTTAGTACCATTTGATCTAGCCTCGATGGCTTGATAATCAGAAGTTGACTAGAGGAAGATTAAAAAAAAAAAAAGATTTTTGATAAAGAAACAAGGGTAAATTGCTCCAATTTGATGAACCTGACCTATACTCATGGAGGTAGTAGCTCAAAATACCAACAGAGAGGGGAGGAGTCTTCACATAAAGTATTAATGCTATCCCCTCTGTACACGGGGTAGATAGGGACAGGCAACTTAGACATTGGCTATCTAAATGAAGGGGCGATAAAGGCACTAAGTGACTGGCTTACAAGGTTTCACGAGGAAGTTTAGTTTAAGAGTGTGTGGGGGAAGAAAGAGTCCCCACTGAATAGTTTTCATCTGTCTAGATGGGTCTGGTAAAAAGAGATGGGGATAAGATTATTATGATTCAGTAGTAATTGTTATCATGACTAATTGCGACTGTCACAATTGTAAAGGTAGAAGTTTTGTAGCAAAAATGGGAGTAGTTAATCTTACAGTACAGAATTTAAGGACCCTAGGACCATCAAGGGAGAAGAGCACAAGCGGAATGCAGTGAAGCAGTGATACCAGAGATGGAGGCAGAGATGGGGACATGGAGAAGGGGGAGTGGCTGAGGACGCTAGACGCATGGGAAGATAGAGACTAAGAGATAGTGGCCAGGAGGCAGACTTGCAGAATGAGCTTTTTGGTGGTGTAAATTATTATATATGCCTGAGTGTAAAAAAAAAAAAAAGCTAAAGTGAATAGAGAGAAATACTATTAACTGATGGTACATGGAGGGGATTATAATCATTGTGATAAAACAAGTTATATGATTTTTTGAATTAAAACTGATGCTCTGCCCTGTAAACTTTCACACAATTCACAATAAAAACTTAGGGGAAAATAAAACAAAACAGCTTAAAATAAAGATATAAATTATAAAAAATAAAAAAAGGAGTATTGATAATTATGCCCAGGCTGCGGAGTGGTTATGACTGACACGTGAGAATCAGGGTGTCTGGTTACCCTGGTTAAGGGAGAGGCCTTTCTCAGAGAACTAGTCATAAATGACAAAATAATGACACCACAACATTTTAGAAATGCTAATTTAAAATAGTTTCCTGTATTTACGCTGCTGCTCTTGTTAAAGCGCTATCGAGTAACCCTGTATAGTAGTTTCAAGGAACAGCTGGTGGGTTTGAACTGCTGACCTTGCGGTTAGTAGTCCAGTGCTTATCCTGCAGTGCACCACCAGGACTCCCTCTGTTTTATGGATATTCTTTAGTTTTGTTTTTATTTTCAATTGTACACCAATCAGTTGACTCTGGTCCAACAATTTTTCCTTCACAAATAGTTGACCCTTCTGATAGGCCTTTTGATTTCTATCTGCTTCTCAGAGGTTTTACATTTATGTGGCCTACTTTCCCCCCCTGCTTTTCGTAAATTTGTAGTTGTTGTTAAGTGCCGTTGAGTCGGTTCTGACCCACAGTGACCCTGTACGGGGTTTCCGAGGCTGTAAATCTTTACAGGAACAGAAAGCCTCATCTTTCTCCCACGGAGCGGCTGGTAGTTTCGAACTGCTGACCTTAAGGCTCATAGCCCGATTCATAGCCACTACACTACCAGAGTATTTGTGCTCAATTTCTCCATCTTCCATATTTTTAAAATGAAAAAGGACAAAATGTGATGAAGCGTCCCAGTAGTTGCTCACATATTGCTGAGCAAACGAAGATGGTGAAGCATGTATCAAGCAGAAGGCAGTAGCACGAATACTTCAAAACGTCTGTCAGAGGATGTGGGAAAGTTCAAGTGTGGGAGTCGAATTAGATGCTTTCTATAGGCGTCAAGTGTGGCGACGGTAGTGAGGTTGGCCCAGGATCGTACATTGTTTCGTTCTGCTGTGCATGGGGTGGCTATGAGTCGGTTCCGACTCGATGGCACCTGACAACAACAACATAGGCTGTCCAGTCAAGGACAGCTTCAAAATCTTGACTGTTGATATTTACAGATGGGCTGCTGCTGGGAATAAACCTGGGGAAAAATAAAACCTCAGTGGATGCTGCTGCGGACTATGCCGAGGGGGTGCGAGTCTTGGGCCCCTTGGCTGACTACTTGGTAGTCAATGTGTCCAGTCCCAACACTGCAGGGCTGCGGAGTCTTCAGGGAAAGGCCGAGTTGCGCCACCTGCTGACCAAGGTGGGAAATTACATCTCTTCTCCACACCCCATTCCACCAACTTGTCCTCTGACTCCTGTTCATTCTCTAGTGCCAAGCTTCAGCATCACTCTGAAAAACCTGTCCTTAACAACAGGACCAGTTAGGAACCCTTGCTATACCCTCTCGAAGCACCCTCTAATCCTCTATCACAACACTGATTATACTCAGTAGTTAAGAATTGTCCAGTGATCTGTCAAACATTAAATACCATGAGCAGGGGCTATGCCGCTCTCATGTACCACCATATCACTAGTACGTAGCCCGTGGAATGAATGAATGAATGACCTGAATGACTTCATCCCACAGTACCTGTGATGGTCTTGCCTTATCATCTTGATTAGGAACAAAAGTCTAAATAATATGCTACTTCCAGCTCGAAGGTTAGGGACTGAATTCCTGGGTCCAGAAGCACTGAAGCACATCATGGCTTTGTGCCTTTGTCTGATGGCTGTGTGAGAATGCTGGCCCGGTGCAGCCTAGGGGTTCCCAGTCTGGCTGTGTTGCTGTAGGTCCTGCAGGAGAGGGCCGCCTTGACGGACGTGCACAAGCCGGCTGTGTTGGTGAAGATCGCCCCTGACCTCACTGCCAAGGATAAGGAGGATATCGCCGGGGTGGTGAGCGAGGTGTGAACCGGGTCCCGCGCACAAGGGATGCCTTGCGTTGTCTGTAAAAGCCCTTTGTCCAGGTGGGCTACCCCAGAATGGCAGCCTTTGTGATTTTTCTCTTTGGATATTGAGGGCCGGTTTGGTGTCTGCCACAATGTAACTGCTCATAGAGCACAAAGGGAGTGTTTGAGTAATTGCCTATGTGACTCTTTCTCTTTCCCCATCTTCATCCAAAAAGGGCATTAAGACATGTGTTCATCCTTGGCTAACATATGGAACCAGAATATTTTCTTTCTCCCCACCAGCCTCGAAATACCAAGTCTCTGTATCATAAGGTAGTAGAGGAAACAGATTGTTGACCCCAGCAGTCCTGTGTTCAAGTCCTAGCTCTTATTATTACCTGAGGCCTTGGACAGGACACTATAAAGTGGTTTGTTGTGAGAATTAAATCCTATCACAATGGGATGTTGTGCTCGCTTTGTGCAGACTTCTACTGTTGTATTGAAGCTCAGTCTATAGACTGGTACAGCTCTTGCTTTCTGGGGGATGTTGCTGTGGGTACCTGGCTGGAAGCAAGCCTTTCCCAAGTCCTTCAGCTCTGGGATTGGAGAGTTCTGCTGCTGCCAGCAGGTGAGCGGCCCATTTCTCTGATTTACTCTTCAGCTGGGCGTCGATGGATTGATTGTCACAAACACCACTGTGAGTCGCCCCTCGAGCCTGCAAGGTGTCCAGCGTTCTGAAACAGGAGGACTGAGTGGGAAGCCTCTCCGGGACCTGTCAACTCAGACCATTCGGGAAATGTATGCGCTTACCCAAGGCAAGGATTCTTTAGCTTTGGGTGTGGGGGTTGTGAGCTCCTGGTTCTGCCTTCAGCTGCCCTTCTTCACAGGGTGGCCGTGTGCTTCCCTGCAGGCCGAGTTCCCATCATCGGGGTTGGCGGTGTTAGCAGTGGGCAGGATGCACTGGAGAAGATCCGCGCAGGGGCCTCCCTGGTGCAGCTGTACACAGCCCTCACCTACCAGGGTCCTCCTGTGGTGGGCAGAGTCAAACGGGAGCTGGAGGTCCTTTTGAAGTGAGTTGGGGCTACACATGGGTTGAAGTAAGAGATGTGATGTGGTGCAATTCAGAATGACTCAACTCAAGAAGATGCTACTCCTCCTCATCCACCCAGGGCTTGAGGGGCACATGCTGAACCCAGGGGAGAATCAATCTGTGTTACTCCTTTGACAAAGGACAAATGGAGCCAAGAAATTCAAGATGAGCTTCCAATGCAGTGGTGTTTACAAGCTGGGCTGTGTACTTAGGTGATGGCGAGGGGCTGCGGAATCCTGGCAGCATTCCTATTAAGTCACATTGGCTTGATGTCAGGAAACAGTCGGTATTTAAAACTGAGTCCCTTCCTGGTCTGAAGACCTGGGCAGGGATATCTCTAGGTTCTTGGGTGAAGACAGTGTAGGTGCAAGAGATGTGCCTGTGATGAGGCCATTTGATTGGGAGAGAGGGGCGAGTCACAGAACTGACAGAGCAGAGGTGGGATGAGGACTTTCTGTGGGAGAGGCCTATCCTGCACTATGGACTAAAGTTGTTTTTCCTTTTCCAGAGAACAGGGTTTTAGCAGCATCACAGAAGCTGTTGGAGCAGATCATCGGAGGTGAGGAGGTTGTCTGGTGGGACGCCATTCTGTAACTCAATCGGATGAGCCTTACGGCTGGATTATGGAAGAGAGGACTGTCTTCATCCAGATGTTCCAAACCACAAGAGCTCCTCCTTAGTGGCCAGACCTGACTGAAAAAGACAATCTAGGTCACCAGAATCAACAAAAGGCTTTCTGCAATCTCTTGAGCAGATCATAAAGCACTATTGTGATTCTTTCTGTATTCAGATTCTGAGATCCTTCAGTATCGCAAGGACACTGGCTATTTTGGGGAAAAATCATGGGAGAGAAAAAAAGCCCATTGGAAGCCTGAATTTGAACTCCAGCCTTTTCTAGAATATGACTGGCTTTGCCCAGACCCTGAGGTCTTCCCAGGTCTCTGGTACCTGGGGACTGTGGGAAGCTTCCATTGGAGCTTGACCATCTTTCATTCTATCTTCATTTTCACTTCAGTTTTTAACTTTTTAAAAAAAAAATTTTTAAACAGACAAAAGTTGCAAGATAGTACAATAAACTTCATATATCCTTTACCCTGATTCACCCATTGTTAACATTTTTCACATTGACTTTCTCCTTTTCCTCTTTATATATGAGGGGACTTTTAAAAGTTCATGGAAAAATTCCATTATCTTTCATTTAGTTTTTCCATTAACTTTTTGAAGCCCCCCCCCCCTCCCTCCACCCCCCCCGTCATGTATATTTGCTGAAGCAGTTGAGGGTGAGTTACAAATAGCATGGCCATCATCCTAAAGTGCATCCATATAGTTCTTAGCACATCAAGGTACTTTTAAATGATAAAACTGGTGTACCTTCATTCTTAACAATCTAAGCAATACAGTATTCTTAAAGCATGAAAGTTTCTATTAGTCTTTCTCTTGAAGTAGCTGTTGTTTGGGAGTTTGTATAATCTCCCAGAATTTTCTGTGCATCAAAACATTTTATACATACATGCACATACATGCATGCACACATACGTACATGTTTGCATATCTATTTGTGCATGGTATAATACTGTTTTCTCTAGTTACCTTAAATTCACATTTTATATTTGTACATCACTGGGATCATACCATGCATATGATTCTACAGCTTGCTTTCTTCACTTGATTATATCTTGGGCATTGCTTGTGTTAGTTCTCATCACCCTACTTCATGCTTTTTAGTAGACTACATTTAATGAATCCTTTATTGATGATTTGGATAACTTCCAGTATTTTCCTATCACAAACAGTGCCTCATTGAACATCCTTGTATATGTATCTGTGCCTTTGTTTAGGTGTTAAACAACCTCCACAATCGTGAGGCCAGAAGAACTAGATGGTGCCTTGTTATCACTGTGGACCACTCTGAAAGGGATCTTAATAGAAGGTTCTGGGTAGAGTGAGAGAAAAATGACTCAATTAAAAAAGACTAGGCTAGTCAGATAGAGATGGTATAACCACTAAGACCATGACATTTAGTCACCCTTCAAGCCTGAACTCACCTCTTTGACACAACTTTAAGTCAAACAATAGGCCTCCCAATTAAACGATGACACCAGGGAGGTATACTCTTCCTTCAAAAAATCAACCATACATAATCGAGAAGGCAGCATTTGTGAAGAGAAGGTGCAGAAAGCAGGAAAGTGGGTAAAATGGAAGTGGTGAACACGGGAAAAGTGGGAAGAGTATTGTTACATTGTGGGGATTGCAATCAGTTTCACAAAACAAAGTGCGTACGAATCACTGAATGGAGCATCAATTTGCTCTGTAAACTTTCACTGACATCACAATAAAAAATGAAACAAAAAAACCCTCAAATTCAAGTCCTTCCGGATCTGGAAGTTAAAGGGATCCAGCAAATAGACAACAGGTATGTTTCCTAGAGGTGACTACCTGGTTCCACTCACTGAGTGGAAGTGAGGGAGGCATAGCAATGAAGAGGTGGGCTGAATTTGGATCAAGGGCAGGACAATTGCCCAGATGGTCTCAGAGAACAGGAATTAATTTTGTTTCTGCTGGGTTTTGGCCTTTCTGGTGCCTATTACCCCTTCTTTCCCTTCAGTTTCTCTCATTTGTAATAGAAGTGTCGATGTCCTATCACTATACTTTGGAAGGTTAATGTGTAACTTAGATTTCCCAGATTCACAGAGGAGGAATTTTGCCCTCAGATGGAATATACCTAAAGTCTCACCCATATTTGGTTTAGATGATTCAGAAGATGAGATTTTAAATTTGGGATGGTATGATGGGGTGAATGTGTTTTGTATGTGGCAAGGATATGAATTTATAGGGACCAAAGTGTAGAATGTCATGGATTGAATTGTGCACCTCCAAAATATGTGTTAATCTGGCTAGGCCACGATTCCCAGTATTGTGTGGTTATCCTCCATTTTGTGATCTGATGCAATGATCCTCCATGTATGTTGTAAACAGGTAGGATTACAGTAAGGTGTATCTTGAGTTACAGCCTTACTCAAATATAAAATCAAGTCACTAACCGTACTCAGGTCTCACTGAAGTCCCATCCTAATTCCAGTCACAGCTTTGCTTCACCACACCTTTTATCTTAAAAATGATAAAAGAGAGAAGTAATAATGAAGAGCCCGGTACAGAGTTTGTCTGGGGTCCCTGAGCGGAGAACCTCCTAGACCCAGGGAAGTTTGACACCAAGACACATGCAGATCTACAAGGAATCCTAGGCCCACAGATATTGAAAGGAGATGACTTTCCTTACAGCCAGTGCCCTGAATTCAGACGTCTAGCCTCCTGAACTGAGAGAAAGTCAGTATCAGTTTACTAAAGCTTGTGGTATTGCTGTTTCAGCACCAGATACCAGACCAGGGGCGGGACTTCAAATGATAGGTCCCTCAACAGAGGAAACACAGTGAACAGGCAAACTCTTCAAATCCTGGCAGCCAAGGAGCGGTTTTCTGGGTGTTGAAAATGTCCTTATTTGGAAAATGTCTCCAAGGAAACAAAAGGAGATACCACACGTGTGTGCAATCACCACTTATTCACCTGGTGGATACTTGCACAGAGTTACCGAAGATAGTCCCTCCATTAAGTAGTGTTCATATTACCATTTCAGTCTTGGTTATTTGAGACTTCGTAGTCCTTAATGGATCCTGTGACATTGTTCTATTCCAACAGAATGAAAAATGTAGTTCTCGGGGCCTGGGATCTAAAAGAAATCACCCTGATTAGGTCAGAATTTCAGTTTATATTTGAGACTCTGATATAACTATTTAAAAATACATATACATACATGCATATGTTTTTATACATACACGTGTGTATCCATTTATACACACTTAGTCTTTATAGGGAACACAGTGGCTCCATAGAATAAGCACTAGACTGAGCCATAAGGTTGACTGTTTGAGCCCACCAGTCCCTTTGTGGGACAAAGATGAAGCTTTCTGCTTCTGCAAAGATTAAAAGCAAAACAGAAAACAACTTTGGAAACCCTGTACAGGGTCGCTGTGAGTCAGAACCAACTGGACAGCACTTAACAACAACATACCTTTATGACTGAATATATGAACGAGTATGAATGACCTATATTCATCCTCCCTTTTCCCTTCCAGTCATTTACTGAGACCCCACTTCACGGCTGCAGCTGTGCTACATGTTAGGGATGATGGTAACGAAATATTCTAGCATCTCTTTTAGGAGAGACAAACACAACTGGGCAGAATCCCGCGAGGCACATTCTACAACAGAGGACATCCAGTGCTTTTGCAGCAGAAAGGCTATTAATTTGAAACTTTTAGCAAGAAACAGCTGTTTGCTTTCCCGGCAAGGTCAGGACTAACTCCCCATTATTCCCTGGGGCCATAATTATTCAAGTTGCCCAATTTCTTTCATTGACTAACAGCATTCCTTCTAGAGAGATATGTCATAGAGCCAGATAGATGGTTCACCTTTTCTAGCACGTGAATATCACCCAGGAGTTGCCCAGTGCTGTGTCAGGCAAAGTTCCTTGGTCTCTTTCCAATACGTTTACCAGCCAGGGCCACCATGTTCTTTGCCTGCTCCCTACATCCATCCTGTCTTTGGCGGTGGTTTCACCCTTAGGGTCTGCATAGGGGGGCTCATGCTAGGGAAGAGCCTCCACTTCTTTCCCTATCAGGCTTCCCCAGTATGGGGTCCTAGGACTGGAGGGTCTCCTTATTCTCTTTGTGGTATCACTACCTCAGTCATGGGTTTAATCAGATATGTATGGTTCTTAATTGGCTTCCATAGACAGAACTGATACTTGTAGCCTGGCTAATGTGGTGAGTGGTCAGTGTGTTATTCCTCCCTGCAAGGATATGTCCCCATTTGACCCTTAAAAGCCTAATCCTGAGAACTCACAGACAATGATTGTGTAAAGTTGCATTAAGTCCATCATGCAGAAAAGGCAGCACCTTTAAGCACTCTGTCTCGGGCTGGGTTTAAATCCTGCCTGTTCTACTGAACAGCTGCGTTATTTTGAACAAGCCACTATCTTCTCTGTTTCCCATTTGTAAAAAGGGGACGATGAAACAATAAAAAGACCTATCACTTTGGAGTACTGAAGAATTAAAATGGACAAACACAGAGCAGCGCCTAACACGCTGTTGGATTCCGAGGGGACTGTCCATTCGAAGGCACTTGTACTGTTGGCTCTGCTGCTGATTGGTTTTTTTTTTTTTTTTTTTTTTTTGAGGGCAGTACTGTTTTTAGTGCTGCAGGACAACAAGGTGGTTTGAACTGCAAGTTTGGTGGTTCAAACTCACCAGCCAACCCTTGGAAATCCTTTACAGGATCACTATAAATTGGAATCTTAGAACTAACTTGACGGCACTTAACTGTTTTATTTAAGTATTTTATTGTGAATTGCGTGCAGGTTTACAGAACAGATCATCAGCTTATATTTAACCAATCGTACCTAACTGCAACCCCTCAATGTAGTATCACTTAGCCCACTCTCGTGTTTTCTGTTTGCACTTTCTCTGGCGACAACCTTTGTGCCCTCAGGGCTCCCCTCTTGGCCTAG